ATAGAAATACAGTAGTATCCAAGGTGGTGATATGTTTGAAGGTTACAGACATGGATCTGTGACTGTTTTTATTTTTATATGATAGGATATGATATGCAGATCTGGATTAATTTCCCGAAACTTGGATGACATTTCCGGATACAGGTGCTTTTTGTCCAGTTATACATCAGTGTGGAAAAGTGCTCTTTATTCAGTTATGAAGTACATTGCCTCCCTGCTGCAAATACACCTCACATCTTCATAGAGGGTTCAGTCTATGTGACATTTAAAGCAAAATTAGTGCTGTCAGTTAAACGCGTTATTAACGGCGTTAACGCAAACCCATTTTAACGGTGTACATTTTTTTATCGCGAGATTAACGTTCTTTTTGGCCTAGCACACTTTGTAGTTTTTTTCACATGCTGTTGCAACAACTAGTAACGTTAGAAAAACTACAACACCACACCAGATCTAGCTAGACCGGAAACAAAACAGGCACGCTGCACACACTTGTTCAAGAGTAGTAGACGTTACGTTTTGAGTGGATGGCGAGCGCAAGATGCTGAAATGGATGCCAGTAATATTCTGAATGGAAAGTTTACTTTTAAAAAGTTGCCAAATGGTTCCATGGACAAGACCAAAGTGATCTGTGTGTTTTGTCGTTGTGAACTGAGCTATCATCGCAGCACGTCCAGTCTGAAATACCACTTGATGGCTGAGCACACAGCTGATGCGAATTCTCCGCCCCCTCGTCAAAGCCAGGCGACAATGGATGATTTTTCAATAAAAACAAAATTTGCACAAAGCAAGCCGATCCACTTTTCCATGTGGATAAGAGCATTAAAATGAGAAAAAGTAATGGGACAAAAAGAAATCAAGGGACATTTAGAATAGATAAAAATGTGCGATTAATTGCGAGTTAACTATGACAGTAATGCGATTAAATATTTTAATCATTTGACAGCACTAAGCAAAATGTATCTTTTGACTATCAAACCCTCTCCCCATGTGCACTTGAAACACAATAGTACAATAAAGTACTGACCTCCTTTCACTGCAGGGAAAAAGTTTCAAAACATCCATAGAAAGCATTCCTACAGTATAATTTACTGTCTGTCTGTATGCTCAGTATGTCCCAAACACTTCAAATTGGGCTAAATACACATATTTTGTCATGCTCTTCTCCTCAAGCTCAGCTGGACGTAGGCTGTTCAGTGATGTAGAATTACAAAGACATCTACTGACTATACCCTCAAAGATGATTTGTCTTCTTGAATTGTATGATTCCATTGCAATGTACATTACAAAGACAGAAACAACATGCTTGAACTAATGATAACCTGTGTTTTGCTTTCTGTCTTTGATTCATGGTGATTATGATGATGATTCAGTAACTTATCAATGCTATTGAATGTTATACACCATAAGGTCAACAAACATAGGCGGCAAAAACACTTGACTCAGTGGCTAAATTAGTCTAAGTAAACACAAATAAACACTTTTGTCACATAGTATATAATATAATTAAGTTGTCACCATTGCCAACTTGGAGAACACACTCTGAGCATTGGTGAAGTAAACTGAGGAGCTGGAACCATCAGATTAAATATGATTGACATAATGGAGTAGCAGCAGGCACTATCTATATATAAGTATGGCTACCTTGGACACAAAGCAAGTGAAAGTTATAAGTGTACAGAAGGTGCCCAGCAGACAATGACCCAACCCTGGGCTGTTATTAGACGCAACACCCAAATCTAAAATATCAAAACATCCATAGGAACTTATGCGGCACCATAATCCACATCTTTGCTATATAGGTTTAGGTCGCTGACAGTGCCGTCTCCAGTCTGCTCCTGTGAGTGAAGATACTATGCTCCAGCTGCTATAAACACCAGGCTACTGCAAGTGCAATTTAACATAAAAAGACCATCACACACTGGTTTAAATGTTCAATCTGATAAGTAATCACTGTCAGTACTTTAATAAGTACAAATACTACTGAAATGCTACAGATGTCAGAAAAGTCCTGCCAAGTTCTGTAACTGAGTATAAACACTACCATGTGATGGCTAGAGGCTTTGATACTCCATGTGTTTTTCTAGTGTACCTCCTGGTGCTGGTTTGTAAACAAAGGCCTACGTGGAGAGCTGATTCTGGAAATAGCCTGTACCTTTGACCTATTTACAGAGCAGACTTTTTTCCGGAAATACTGTGAAGCCTCACATACATGCGCCCTTGGGCTCTTATAGGCTATGTGTAGGCTAATGTTTGATTTTGGCAGGCTCACACGTGTCTAAACTGGCTGTCAGAGGTAGGGAGGTCTGCAAGAGAAAAGCAGTCGACAGATACTGTTGTGAGATACGTGCTGCTGGGTTGTCTGTGTGGCAGAGGAGGTGCCACCTTCCACAAACGTCTAATCTTGAAATGAGTAAATGTTGTGCTGTCATATGAATAGCTAAGTTCAAATAAAGTATCCTCTCTCCTTACTGGATCCACTTCTCCAGGCCTCCTCCTTATCTGCTGTCAGCCCCAACATGTGTCCACATACTGCTGGTCTGAAAGCAGATAAGGTGAAGGGTTTAGTTAACCTGTGAGTGGGTGAAACCTGAGTTTGTGAATGGCCGCTGGATGATGGATAGGTGAAAGGGGAGGAGGTGTCAAGGATTGTCTAACACAGTACTGACAATTTATGGACTGTAAATAAAGTATTACACGAAGCATGCATATAGTAGTGGTGGGAGCTATGAAACTGTAGTTACTAATGTTTTTCCTGTTTGTTTGGGTTAGGGGATCACGTTCAGCTACTAAGGCCAAATATTGATGACATTTAAAGCATGCGTATAGAAGTGTGTGGCTCTGAGGATAGAGATACTAAATTTAACTTAATCTCTCTTTAAATATTGCTTTACAGGGGGTTTTAGGCGGGGTTGCAGCGAGACAAAGAGTCTACAGCCGTGCTAGTGGCTCTGTAAAGCTGTACTTTGACATAGCAAAGCTGTGAGCTAAATGCTAAAAACGTCAGAATGCTAACATATTCACAATGTGAATTAGTGTGTTAGCATGCTAACACAAATGTTAGCTTACTAATTAGCACTTAACAGTTGCAGGAGTGGCATTAGCTTTGCAGGTATTTCATCACAAACCAAAGTATTTTTAATTTTGACAAACTTTTGACCTGATATTGGCACTACATGAAATATCGGGGGATCGCCAGTGTTATTACAATTCATCTTGAATGTGAATATTTGTACCAAACATTCTGGCAATCCATCCAATAGTTATGGAGTGTTAGCAGTCAGTTAGCTAGCTGGCTACTAAAATGAATAAAAGCACTGCCAAATTAATAAGGAGGGCGGTCAGCTCTACAGAGTTTTACTTTACTTTTAGTCCCTCTTTGCTCTTCATTGGCGAGTTCTCCACTTTCTTTCTAATACCCTTTCATCCTTTCTACTCTAACCCTCTTTCAGACAGTGGCTGTGTCTCATTCCACATACTGCTAATGTGCACTGACCACTTACTGCCGTAGTGCCCACTTTCGATGGTTAGTATTGTCCCAAAAGGAACACTTATGTTAAAACACTTACCGGAAATGATGAGCGGGATGAGCGTGACAAACGCGACAAACACAAAACACGTGAACGCAATTTTCCAGCCCGCCAAAAATATATGCCGGCTTTTGTTTACAAACATTTTTTCTGCACGTTCATTTACCACTCAGTTCACAGCATGTGGAAACTACGTCGCCTCCGACGCCAACGCCAATTAACTCGCCAAATAATTATGTCGGCTTCAGTCAGTGAGGGACATGTAAGTGATGCATTAGACAACAGTTCAATGTCTCGTATTACCACCATTACTTACATTTATACGCTTGAGGTGTCGAACTAGGGTAGTATCCGAGAGTTGCAGGTGAAATGATGAAGTGGACATAAATAATGATAGTAAAAATTCTTTGTTTGGTCAGTTCTTTTCATTTGATCCTTAATTGCGAAGCACTTTGTAAAGTCTGTTTCAGGATCTAGCCCCTGCTGACTGCATCCCATATTGACTTTGATCCCCATCGAGCCTACACTCATCACCTTCTGACACAGAGCAGTACGCCTTACGGTTATTTCCAGAGACGGGACTCAGCCACCATGGTTCAAACTTCTTGTCCTCCAACCATTTGTCCGAAAACTTGAACTTGAATAATCCTACTATGCACCTACACAATGATTGAATCCATGCAAACTTTATTTGGACAAAAATGATAGACACTCGGAAAACAGCATTTATTTTGTGACATTTCACGGTGAAGTTGCAGAGTGCAACTAACTGAACACTGCTCGTGTCTGTATTTGACGACCTGGTAAGGAAACAGGCTGTGAAGTGTGTAGGAAAACAGGCTGTAATACGCCTCGAGGAACTGTTTTTCAGTCCACTGTTGTAAATGTGTAGTGAGATTTGACATTAAGGACATACGCTGCAGGCTACAGAGCGTGTACATACACCTGCAGCAGTGACACAGATGGATGGATGACACTAATGATTGAGTCACTTCAGATCACAGAAAGGAGGCCTCCCTCTGCTCCAAGGGTTAAAGGCAGGTCTTGGACACACTGCAAAAAATGTCAACCTTCACAATTATTTCGAGTTTTAAAAAATATTTTAAAATAAAATGAAAATGGCCTCAGAAAGGTAGTGAAAACTCTTTACGGGTATTTTATTTTCTTATATGTTTGCCAAACATTAGATTTATCCGCTGTCCACCAGGCTGTAAAGAAAAAGGTTTATTTTTTGCAGTGTGCTGCTGTGAACAGGGCGGAGAGAGGAGGTTTCCTTTAGAGAGAGAGAGAGTGTGTGTGTGTGTGTGTGTGTGTGTGTGTGTGTGTGTGTGTGTGTGTGTGTGTGTGTGTGGAGAGAGAGAGCGAGAAGAGTCAGCTGGTCGAAAGTGCAGGTCGAGATCAGTGCATGTGTGCTCGTATGTGTACGAGTGTGAGCGTGCGTTTACGTGTGTGTACGCGTGCAAGGAAAGCACTTCGGGGGGGTGGGGTGGGGGGAGGGTGGGGGTAGACAAGGTGAAGACAACAGAACAGCGGACAGAGTTTTGTTGGGGGAGGCAGTTTGTGTGGCGATCCAGACGAGGACAGTCGAAGCGCGCCGGGTCCTGCTCCGTCGCGCGTCCTGGACACGATCCTTGAGCCGCGTCCTGCCCTTTGATTACCGTAAGCACTTCTGTTATTTGTTTGGACTAATATCACGCATATGGTATATCAGTGTCAAACATACTTCCTATAGAAGCTTGTTGCTCATTGCACAGGGATGGTAACTTACTTTACCAACGCTTTTATTGGCAGAAATAAGACTTTATTGGCATTTTTGTGCTGTGAAATGAGCTCCAGAGTCACCGTAATTATCTGTCTGTCAAACCTACTGCAGGTAAAGTAAAATATGAAGACATTTAAACGGTACAGAGCTTGCATCTGTGGAAGATGTGTTTGAGATCACCAGCTGGAGCACGAAGTTCTTTTCTAACACTTCATCACTGCAGTCATGCTGAGACTGTTAGTGATGGTGGAAGGGAAAAAAAACTGACAAAACTCCTGAAAACACACACACACATGTTAGCCTACATGTTCCATCAGTGTCAGAGAGCCTCTGCAGGGACTGTTTCATCTCCTCACTGTAACTGTGCTTTGGTTTCTTCCACTTTATATGGGAGTTATGTTATCTGAACCCACGGCTGAATCAGGGAGGATAAGCTGGCTGAGTGTGTACTTGCGTGTGTGTTGATGGTCTGTCATAAAGCTCCATTAGCTGTGACTTAATGTAGGCTAATCTCTGCACACTGCTAAACTTCCTTCTTCCTTCCTGGCGCATAAAGAAGACCACAGATTTGTTTAGGATCAGGTAACATTGAGGCCTATAAGAGGCTCTGAATGTCAGACCTAGACTACTGTGTAGAAGATACAGGTGCATATGGATAGTATATCATTATAGAGGCTGTCACTAGTGAGGTTGCAGTGCAGTCATTATCGCTAAAAACCTGCTACTGAAATCCACTCAATGTCAGAATTTGAGCTCCTTTGTACTTTGATCTAGGAGTGTGGTGTGTTATAGCCACGCACACTCACACGTGTGGCATTATTAAGTTGCTCCCTGTCCCATTTAATTCTCTAGATCTCCCCGTATGACCAGTAAAGCTGAATTACTTGTTTTCTCTGCAGGAGGAACCACAAATGTCAGCAAATGTCAAGCAGTTGGAGCTTTGGCTTTGCTTTCAGCCTTATTAGCCACACATAAGATCAGCCCCGCTTGCCCTTTTGGCCAGCAGTTTGATTGTTGTAAACACACGCGTAAGCCTATGCAAGAACGTTTGAGATATAAAACTACTCAGTCTCAGTAAAACAATAAAAGTAGAATAGAAAAAAAAGTGTGCAATTATCAGCATCGGAGAGGCTGTGTTTGTGCAACTGTGCACACACATTTAGACACAGATTCTCAGTCAGCAGAGCGACCTAAAGATAGCAGAGCCCCAGTGGAAACAGTAATTAGTGGGGTGAAAAGAGAGGGAGGAGAGGAGAGGAGGAGGAGGAGGAGGAGGAGGAAGAGATATTGTTTGAACCATCTGATATCTGTTATATAATGACCTGTACAATGGAGACATGCTGGGAGAGAAAGTGAAGAGAAACCAGCAGTCAAAGAGTGAGAGGAGCTACTTAGTGAGAGAGATGCAGAGTTCAGTGTGTGTGTGTGTGTGTGTGTGTGTGTGTGTGTGGATTCAGTTTGCCGAACCTTTGTTGGAAGCAGTATCGGTTGCAGCACTTCCCTGAAATTTGTATGTGGGCTACAGAAATATCAGTCTTAACAAGTCATTTCTACCTGTGTGGAGGGTTCCTATTTTTCTTGAATTGAGAGAAAAATCCAGTTTTTGAGCTGGACATCTCTAAAATGTTATTGCAGCTTTTCATAAAATTGGGTGGGCAGATAGGAGTGGTTAAAGGGAACTGTTGATTAGATTTTGATGGTGATCTGGGATTTGCACCAACAGGCGAGGACAAGACTTTCCAGCCAAAACAATGAAACAAATGGAGATAGAAATCTGATTCCAAAACGACATCATGCAGGCCCAAGGAACCCATTTATCTTCATATTTAAGTGGTTGTAATTAATTTTGGGGTGTAACTGCAAGTTGGATAATTGTTGTTTTTTTGACCCTCTAAGAGCCAACTCCCCTCTATGCAATGCAGCAAAATTAATTGATTTACAAAGGCTTCCTGTAGTTTTAATGCTAAGAGCAACATAAAACCTCACGGTGAACAGCTTGAAATGGAAATGTATTGCTGTGTGTGTGTGTGTGTATGTGTGTGTGTATCCTCTTTCCAAACACACACAGCTTCCCCCTGCTTACTCACAGCAGATAATGCTGCACAATGCAGTGGCAATAGCCGACTCCTATTTCAAGTTCCTTCAGAAAGGCTCTCATCCTCATCCCCCCTTTCGCCTTCCCCAGAAGTCTGCAGGTGGAGAGGGTTTCTTATTTAGTCTTAAGCCCCAGGCTTTGTTTGGGAACTGACGTGTGTGTGTGTGTGTGTTGTACACAATGGCTGTGTTTACATTGGATTCGGTGTGCACATGTTCATCCATGCATGCACATCCCTTCGCACATGCAGGCTTTGTTTTCTCTTGAGCAGAGAGAGGGGTTTAAGCATTTTGTCTGTAGGCATACCAAATAAATACCAGTTTTACAAAGTTGTTGCATGGCGTTTAGCACGGATCACAACAAGTGCTGGTAATTCACTTCTTGTTTGTGAGTTGCCTCATTACCTGTCTCGTTTTCCTTCATCATTCAGTTTGTTTTGTGAATTTGTGTTTTCTCCTGTAATTTCTGTTCAGATTAGTGTTTGGTGCTTTCTTTCCTCTTTTTCATTCATTTCTTTCTGCGCTGTGTCCTTTCTTCATGTGCAGGGTGCTGGTGAAACCAGAGGGGGTCATTCCCTACAGAGGGAACACTGAAGGAACACCATGGCCTTAGCGGGATGTCCTGACTACTTCTTACGTCACTCGAACTACCAGGTAAATATTTTGTGTGTTGTATGTCTGTGTGCTTGTCAGCAGTGTGTGGTAGCATATGAATCAAGAACATCTTATAATACTTTAACAGTTTGGCTTTTAATGAAACACAAAAGCTCATGCAGGGTTATAAAGCTTCTGACTTTTTTTTGTCAAAGCAGGAAAAGCACAGATGTACAGTGGATATAAAAAGTCTACACACCCCTGTTAAAATGCCAGGTTTTTGTGATGTAAAAAATTAGACAAAGATAAATCATGTCCAAACTTTTTCCACCTATAATGTGAACAATTCAATTAAAAAACAAACTGAAATCTTTTAGGGGGTAAAATAAAAAATAAAAAACTTACAATAACCTGGTGTGCACACCCTTAAACTAATACTTTGTTGAAGCACCTTTTGTTTTTATTACAGCACTCAGTCTTTTTGGGTAGGAGTCAATTAGCATGGCACATCTTTGCCTGCTCTTCTTTACAAAAGCGCTCCAAATCTGTCAGATTGCAAAAGAATCTTCTTCTGGTGAAGCCATGCTTTTGTTGATTTGGATGTATGCTTTGGGTCGTTGTCGTGCTGAAAGGTGAAATTCCTCTTCATCTTCAGCTTTCTAACGGAAACCTGAAGGTTTTGTGCCAAGATTGACTGATATTTGGAACTGTTCACAATTCCTTCCACCTTGATTAAGGCCCCGGTTCCAGCTGAAGAAAAACAGCCCCAAAGCATGATGCTGCCACCATCATCCTTCACTGTGGGTATGGTGTTCTTTGGATGATGTGCAGTGTTGTTTTTGCGCCATACCTTTTGGAATTATGGCCAAAAAGTTCAACCTTAGTTTCATCAGACCATACCATATTTTCCTACATGCTTTTGGGAGACTTCATGTATTTTTTTTACAAAATTTAGCCGGACTTGGATGTCCGTCTTGCCACCCTACCCCATAACCCAAACGTATGAAGGATATGGGAGATTGTTGTCACATGTAGTACACAGCCAGTACTTGCCAGAAATTCCTGCAGCTCCTTTAATGTTGCTGTAGGCTTCTTGGAAGCCTCCCTGACCAGTTTTCTTCTCGTCTTTTCATCAATTTTGGAGGGGCATCCAGTTCTTGGTAAGGTCACTGTTGTGCCATATTTTCTCCACTTGATGATGACTGTCTTCACTGTGTTTCATGGTATATCTAATGCCTTGGAAATTCTTTTGTACCCTTCTCCTGACTGATACCTTTTAACAATGAGATCCCGCTGATGCTTTTGAAGCTCTCTGCGGACCATGGCTTTTGCTCTGAGATGTCACTTTAAATGATGGCAGGTGTGTACTGACTACTATTTAACATGAGTTTGAATGTGATTGATCATTTCTGAACATGTTATGCAACCAGCTTATTGTAAGTTTTTTATTTTTTATTTTTCCACCTAAAAGATTTCAGTTTGTCTTTCAATTGAATTGTTCACGTTAGAGGTTACGTTAAAGGTGGAAAAAGTTCTGACATGATTTATCTTTGTCTAATTTTTTTACATCACAAAAACCTGGCATTTTAACAGGGGTGTGTAGACTTTTTATATCCACTTTAACTTATAAGATGAACAATGGCTCCATTTTATTTAGTTTTGCCAGTTCTGAGCCAGCACTCACAATACCAATGCAACCATTATTAATTATTTGCACCTGTGGTTATCAGGTCAAAATATCTCCTGGTTCATAAACCACCGCACTGATAATCAAAGCAAAATATGCCTCGATCATAGTGGTCCTCATTGTTCAAGGACAAATAACAATCGGAAGGTAGACGTGTAACCAGTAATGGCGGCAGGAAGTCATGCAAGCCTTAACTGCTTTGATACTAGAATCATTGTTAGCATTTCGTACTAAACTTAACTAACTTAAAGAGGTAAGTTAATTAATGTGATCTATTTAGAGAAAACAAGATTTTGCTGATGCCATCACGCAGACCTTCATCTGACTAAAATTCAGCTTGGATCCTTTTTATTAGTTGCTTCCCCTGTCATTGTTAATGATTGACAGAAGTTGTGGGGTGGCAGGACTGGAACGTTTTTTGTCTGCTGAAAAGGGGGGGCAGGAAAGGTTTGACAACTAGCGTAGGGTTTGGGTTTAACAAAAAAGCTAGCTTTTTAGGAATTTGTCTACTTGTCATTTTTCAGATATAAATATATTGTGCAGCTTGGAATTGTCTTTAGGTGTTTAGGTTTAGGTTTGGGTTATGCGTGAGGGAAAGACTGTAGAGGAAAGTCCTAACAAGTTTAGTTATGCAAACCTCTCCGTGTGTACCAACATGTGTACAGTGGCTCTGTGAGGCTACTTACTTCACAGTGAATGAAGCAAATAGCCTAGTTAGGTGAAATATGGTGTCTCTGCAACACAACAGACCCACTTCCACTGTCCAACTCCTGCAGAATGAGCCCTTTGTTTCCCTGCTCGGATTTTCTCCTCTCCAACCCTTCAGTAACCTAAAGAATTTGGCCAAAGAGCATCGTGGAGGTCTATAAATAGAGTGCTAAACAAACAACAATAACAAACTGTGGGCTTTGTTGTGTGACAGGCCTGAAAGCATGGGATTGATGGTATGACGTCTTACTGGGACCGTTGGGACGATGGAGGTGACGTAGCCTCAGCTGCTTTATTCCTCTTAGTGGAGGTACAAAAATGCAGCTCCCTGCTAACCCAAACCGTGGGACCGCTGAGCCCCCGTTGAGCTGACACGAAGTTGGATTGGTTCACGTTAGCTTCCAGGAAAGGGTTTTGCACCAGTAAGACTGCAGTGAATAGTGAATTGAATCCCCATAGAAAACAACATTCCTCCACCCTGCATCTAGAGGAGAAAAAACAGAGTTTGATAGTTAGAGGGACAGAAGTGGGTTACAACATTGCTGTGTGTGTGTGTGTGTGTGTGTGTGTGTGTGTGTGTGTGTTATGTAAAGCTTGCCAGTTGACATGACACAGCATGGCACACTCACATACACACACCCCATGGACTCTCCCTGTACGCAGTTACTGTAGGTTTAGTGTGTATAGATAAGGCGCAAATGAGCCCTCTTTTCTGCATACTTGCATAACGCTATACATAACACCAGGCATGTTGGGGAATCTGGGCAGTGTTCCAGGTGTGTGTGTGTGTGTGTGTGTGTGTGTGTGTGTGTGTGTGTGTGTGTGTGTGTGTGTGTGTGTGTGTCTATCTTAGTGAGAACTTTGGATCTGTGCCAGAGATGTCTCAGAGAAAGCAGCCAGCAACTTTTTCCCTTCCATCTCCTTATGCATGAGTGTGTATTTGTTCATGTGCATACACATAAACTGTAGAGCACTAAGAAGCCACAGTCCGCAGACTCAAAGCTCAGCTGAGTTATGACTTTAACCAGTCAGAAGAGTGGAATGAATGAAGCGTTTAACAGATCCTCTCCCCCGAACGTAGGTATTTGTGTCAGCAGTCCTGAACATGTCTGTTCTGTTCTGTTCTACAGTTCTTTCTTTCTTTATGTTCTGAGAGGTCAGAGGTCAGTGGCTGCCACATTAATGGGCACCCTCGGTCTTGTGCTTGTGCTTTCGAGGAAGCGTAGCCTTTGATGCTCTGAGAGAAAGTATGTTGAAATGCCTAGATGTTAATGCTGTGGGCTATAGAGTGAAAGAGGAGACGTTTGCCTGCGATGAAAGAGATGTCAAGAATAGTCATGACTACCCACAGACAAGAGCAACCCAAGTATGTCAAGCTGATCGACTCCAGGGTCTAAGATTTCCTCTTCAAGTACTGCTGACTCCAAGAACCTTGATATTGGTCCAAACTAATTCATCAAGACTCCAAAATGTAGGACGAGAAACAACTCAAAAGCACAGAGAAAGAAAAGCATAGATGACTCTTCAATTTTTTCCACGTTTTTAAAGTAGACGCATTCTGGACATGACAGAAAGACAGAGATTGAAAGCAAGCAGTTGTCTGAGAAGAAAAGAACAAGCAGGAAGAGACATTGGATAGGAGAGCTAAAGATAGACTGGAAAGGGGGGGGGAGAGGTGCTGACACGTAGCAAAGGGCCACAGATCAGACTTGAACCCATGGCCACTGCAGCAAGGACTCAGCTCTACCAGGTGAACTACCAGGACACCACCAGAAGGTTTTTTTTAACCATTCGTCCACCACTTTGTTCCAGACTGAAATATCTCAACAACTATTGGATGGATAGCATTGGCTTTGATGAGGTGTTCATCATGTTACTCGTATTCCCAGTATTTCCTGAAATAATCCTAAAGTATTTTATGCATTTATTTTTATCAGATGCCACAGACGTGTAGTATAGCCATACTTTCTAATGATTGGTGGCATCTTGGCAGGCTGAACTGCTAACACTGTCAAACACGCTGTACTCAACTTTACCACCACAGACTCAAAACAATCAAATGTAGCTTAGTTTCACTGGAGAAATATCGATACTACTTGTTGGTAGTGGGTTAATTTGGTAGATACCTTTTTAAAGGTATTGAAAACCTGAGTACCAGTAACCAGCCATAATATTGACCCTGCAGTACTCAAAAACAAGGCCTTTTAACAAAAGGCAAGACAAGTTGAAGATGTTTAAACTAAAAGAAGAAAGCCCCCCTTCATGTAGCTACCATATACCACTTAAGACTAGTTATATCAACAGTGTTGTTTCCAACTATTAACTCATGCAAAACTATCCACATCTGGAACATGCTTTTACTGATAAACCAATTTCTATTTTTAAGTTACTTTTAAGAAAGTGAGTTACGTCTTCACAGTTGTCACTTCTTGACCACTGAGGCAGCATCACTGGACTCTCTTCAGACTATAGAGTCAGAAAGTGCATTATTGGGAATTCACAATAAGGTTTTTATGGGGAATGTAGCTGTTAAAGCTGACTCTTTTACTGCACAAGTGCTGCTGAGGGGAGGGGATTTTCCCTGGGTTTACTTGTAGCTATATATTAATACCGCTGCTACTCTGTTACCAGGACTAGGACACTGTCCTGCCTCCAACTCCAACAACGCCACTCAGTGTACACAATTACATTCTTATGGGAAAAGGCAGTTAGCCAGTTAATGTAGCACAGTGAGTGGAAATCGGGGAACAGCTAGCCTGGCTCTGTCCAATGTCCAAACAAAACCCCCTAACAGCACCTCTGAAAGTGAAAAAAATGACTATTCTCCATTTTGTGGGGCTTTATTTGCTGTATTATAGACCTTTTTCACAGCAACCATTTTAACATGAAATAGTAGGGTAAACACAGGTGCTTGTTTCCCCCTGTTTCCAGTCTCTGTGGTAAGCTTAGCTAACTGGCTGCTAAATGTAGCCTTGTATTTAATGGACAGATATTGAGGGTGTTATCCATCTTCTTACACAGTGTCTACACATGAGACATTGGCAGAGCAGCAGAAGCAGCTACAGTGCTCTGTTTCTGTCTAAACAAGATGCATTCAGGCACAGTATTCAGTGTAGGTCATCAGCGTTTTATCAACACTCAGAGCCCAATACATAATCACTGTAGATAATTGTGTAAAAGAGAAGAACATAGGCTTAAGGCATAAAAGTATGCTTCAGGGCACTTTTCTGTGGGTATAGTGCAAGTAATAAAGTTAAGTAAGTAAAAGTAAAACGTGAGCCTTTACTCGGCCTGTGTAAACAGCTTGACTGTGTGTGAGACGGATGACTGAAAGGTGCTGCTCAGATGCCCCGTTTTCTGGTTTTGAACAGTGCTTGTCCATGCAACATTAGTTTGATGGACCTTCCAGTGAGGTTGCAAGGTTATCTTGTCTGTCTGAGCCAGTCAACTTTTCTTTGAATTTGGAGCGCATTGTTGTTAGCATGTTCGCATGTATTTCCCTCACATGCTGAGTAAGATATACTGTAAATCAGAAGGAGTTTAGTGGACAAGTTGCTGTATCTCTAGCTATTCAACTCTAGCTGAAGCCTGCAGGCTTTCTTTGTCAGCCCACAGGCCCTGCAGCCAAGTTGCCTTCCTTGGAAAGCTTTTGGCTGCTTCTTCTCAGAGCTATAAATCTTACTCTGGGCATTTATGGATGTTTTCGAAGCACAGAGGGGAGTTTTGAGTGTGTGTGTGTGTGTGTGTGTGCATACATGCACAACAGGACCCCTGGCCACTAGCAGTTCCTGGAAGCAATGCTTCCGCGTTCTTCTTTTTCCTAGAAAAGGGAAGATTGAAAATTCGTTTGGCTTTTTTCCCTGTCTTTCTCCTCTGCAGCTTTCTTGCCTCGAGGCTGCTTCAAATTAGACAATGTGTGAGGAACTTGGCAGTGTGTTCGTGCATCTCGAGACGTGTGAGATTGTATAAGTGTGCCTGAGCTGGTATGTTTTTGCTCTAAAAATGATTGATATGTTTTTTGCTTTTTTTAAATCAGTACCTGATGCGTGTGAGACACAGACGTGAGAGTTTGTGTGGGTGTGTTGTGTGTGTTAAGAGAGACATAGACCGAGAGAGAGTGAAAGGACAGGGGGTCATAAAGTCACAGTGCCACAGGGTCAAACTGTCACAGGTCTCTGAACTTGAGGCTGATGGTTGATGTTCCTCAAGAGCAGAGGCACGAAACCACCCTTCGTCTGGACTGAAAATAACACGTTGTCTTACCCCTGACTAACAAATCTTAGGATGCTCTCACATTTATAGTTTGGTTAATTTCCTCCGGACTAGGGCTGTAGTCAACCAAAGAAAATCTTGGTCGACTGAAATTCTACCTACTCTTCAACCAATCATGTGGTCAATGGGGGAAAAAAATCTGTTTTTTCTAGGTTAACTAAATGGACCAGAGTGCCCTGACTGTACTCTGCCTGGTAGCTGCTGGGTGTTGGTAATGGTAAATGGACCTGTACTTTCTAGTCTTCCGACCACTCAAAGCGCTTTTACACTACATGCCACATTCGCCCTTTCACACAGCGATGGCAAAGCCCATCAAACAGAAACTAACGCATTCATACACATTCACAATGTGTGCAATTTGGGGTTCAGTATCTTGCTCAAGGATACTTCGATATGTGGTGGAAGGAGCCGGGGATCAAACCAACAACCTTCCGATTAGTGGACGACCTGCTCTACCTCTGAGCCACAGCCGCTTGTGTTATAAGTTACACAACATTGCCAAGAAAATTAATTCCTGCCACTGACCATTTCTTTTCCACATGTAACTATATTGTTACCTTCATGGCATGTCTATCAAATAAATTTACATACAGTGGCAGCAACACACGCACACACAAACACCCCAGGCTTCCGTAGAACAACGAAACTCCCACAGTATAAAGGGCTGCAGAATTAAGCCACTTATCGCAACCACAGTGCGCAACATGCTAAAGTTCAGCAGGCTAAACAACAAAATTAACACTAAAACAACATAAAACCTGATAAAATGTACAGCTTCCTGGGCACCTTGTAGCTCATGTGATGGAACTGGACCACCATGTGCCAAGGCTGAGCCATGGTTTCATATCCGAACTATGGCCCCCTGTATGTCATCCCCTGTCTCTCTGCCCCCCCCCGTCTATCTTGAGCTATTCTGTCAATAAAGGCAAAAAGCCCCCAAAACTTCCAACTGCTTGTTAAGAAAGCAGTCCATAGTAAAAATGCACACACGTTGCCATTCAAAATAAACTTTATCCACTCAGCTTTTCTGTCCTCTGAGGCTTGGGGACGGTGTAGTGATTTCTGCTGGTTATTTGACATGGTGTCAGTTAGTCTGGAGCTGAGTGAATGTTCATTAAGTTAAGCCCTGCAGTCTGAAGGCTCCAAGGCCAGTTGTGTAGACGTGGGTGTTTTGGCTTCCTGACTTACAGGCCTTATCCATAAAGCCAAACAAACTAAAACAGAAACACAAATGTTGAGTAAAAAATATTTGAATATTATTTTCATACATAATGTTATTTCTAACAATATTGCCTGTCACTAAAAAATAAAATGCATCAGATCCTGCCTCCGAAAACAATGGATTAGGATACGCTAGTAACACCAGAGATTTTCAACAACAGCATATCTGCTACAATTAAATCCTGTGGTTGGTTTGTTTGCTTTCACACCACAAATGAACCGCACTAACCTGGCAAATGATTGAGTTGAATGAGTCATTTTTTGACTGAACCTAACAGCTTTGGTGTGAAGGCACCATTAAACCCACTGCATGGTTTTTACTGCATGGTCTTCGCCTTTTTAAAAATATCTTTTTTTTCCTGCCTTTTTTACAGGAAAGCATGGACCGCACTTCCTCTCGCAGGCCTGATGAGCTGATTGTCCCAGGGTTTCAGCGCCCCGCTGGTCAAAATTTGCCACATCACCATGGTAAATTTCCTCTCCTCTCCTCATCCAACCAGTGTCAAATGTATTCAGGTATTTAAATCAGAAAATACGAAATGGTCATGATTCCCCCGATCTACTCTTTATGTTTTTTTATATATACCACAATGTATTTGTACAAAGCCCATTGAATACTCCCCCTGTCTTCCTAGAAATCCCCCACTATTCTTCTCTATCTCCACCTTCATCTAGGACATTTTCTCCCTTCATCACTGCATGCTCTGCTCTCCATATGGAGAGATTATAGACAAGTGTTAAAGTGCACCCCCCTTTTTTAGTACTGCTCAGCACTTTTCTACAACCCCCTCCCCAACCTCCCGACCAATGCTCACACACATGCGTTAGCCTTCTCTCAATATATTCCCAGAAATCCCTTCAGCCATTGTGGAAAATCTTGGGAATCCTTTTGGAAAGCAGCCAATTTGAGGAGAGGAGAGGTTGTAAATTCTCCCTCCCTGGCCTCTTTTTTTTTTTTCTCTCATTGGTTGGTGGTTTAATTGTCTGCTCTGCTGATGTGTGGTGGTCGTGTGCTTGTGTGAGGGTATTACGTATGCCTTTACGTGAATGGGGTGTGTAGATGGGGTGTTTATATAGGCCTGTAGGTCACCCAGCCTAGAGGGGAGTTTAAAGTAACTAGGCCATAGGTCTGTGGGGCAGGGTTGTAGATAGTGGAAGGTGTGCAGGTTCATACTTGAATACAGACAGTGACACCGCGGATGATGTTTGCACGCCAAATCAATCATCTGCTAATTGGAATTCCACTTCTTAGCATTTGTGGGCCCATTGTGGTCAATCCTTTACAGCCCTTTTCTGATTCTGAGAGATAATTGTCACAGCTGAGATGATATAACATTAAGTTGTGTAATTGGCACAGCAGAAGCAAATTAATCTAATGGCAAAACAAGCTTTTAGTGATGTAAAACATCTGGTTTGGTTGGTCTCCATCAGTATGAAATGCAACTACTTTAAAGAGCTAAGAAATTCCGACTTTGCCCAATGACTGGATCCTCAATATACCAGAATGAAAAAAAACTTCAGCTTTTTACAAGCACTAATATTACTTCTGCTCTTTTCACCTGCACACAAGAATATTCTGAGAAATGTCATATCCTCTTTGGGCAGTTGTATCTGTGAAAAATGGAAACGCAAACTGAAGTAGAAGTTGATGAGTCAGGTTGAGGGGCAAAAGGAAAAGTAAATTACAATCCTTTATCCTAAATAACTCCCAGACTGCACTGTGTTGAAGCACTAATTGATGATACTAACAGCATAGGGTATAGAGAATAGACACCCCGATTTGTCAGTGTACTTCAGGTTTGTCTACAATCCAAATATTTAGCTATGTTGATATCATGCATAACTGATAAGCAGCAGTTAGTTTTTCCATCATGATAATTTGCATGCAGGAGAAGGATTATAAGAGTTGTGTGGAATCCATTTACTGGCTTGGTAATGAAAAAATACAGCTACTGTTTCATTTTGATTTTGCACTAGCATGACATCGACCCCACTGACGGACTTGTTGTATATTTAGACCATGCCTGACTCAGGCTACATGCCCTTCATTTATGCCAGCCCTGTCTTTTTGATGAGCTGATGACATGTGTCTTAATACATACCATGGTGTTGATTTCATGTAAGCCGGTATATATACTTCACCAGATTTAATGTTTTGCTCATAATGTTTATCTATGAATTTATTTTGTGTGCTCCCCTACAGAGTGGCCATGTTTCTCTTCAGTAAAGTTAATTCATTGCTGGTTATTACGTAAGTTTAGTAACATGCACCTCAGTAATGATTTCTAGGAATGGAAAGCATTACTCATTCACTTTACCCACCCACATTTACACATCTTGTGTGGTGATTGAAAACAGAGCTCTCGTTAGTTTCACTTTCACTTTATCGTCCATAAGGACGACTCGTTCTTCTTCCTACAATGCAAAATGTGAACTGACAAAAAAATTAAAGATAAAAAAAGAAGTGGTCTCAGTACAGTATAAAAGGATTTGTCTTGGCCGGTACATGCGGCACAACGGATGCGTAAAAGTATAGCAAAAAGATTAATGTGCAAAATGTACCAAAATGCATTTTTATAGCACGTAACTGGAGTATTTTTATTGCATATAAAGGATTGCCCTTTGCCCTGAAAAGCTGAACGTCCAGCTCTCTTCCCTGACCTCTAGACTGCCGTCAGGGATCGATGATTGCAGGTTGTCGTGGCCAGGGACAGAGAGCCCTCATTCAATGTATTCTGGGATCTTACAGGAATGAATTGGCTGCGGTTGTATGGTAGGTCGTCAGATTCTAGCCAGAGTGCTGCAGCAGTTCATCTGCTCTCAAAGTTGCAGTTAGTAGAAGAGAGGGAGGAGAAGACATTTTCATGCTATATGTCCTCTGGTTTCTCCAACTGAAGCCAGCAGTGCAGCGTGGGCCAAGCCAGCAAAGGGAGGAGGGAGAGAAATGCCAATGATACCATCATTATCCTCTTAAAGCTGCACTAGGCTACGTTTTAATGTAAAACTCCAGCCGGTTTATCAGCCTTAATCACAAAGTGGTGCTGCAACAGAGAAGAGCTGCAGAGAGACACCCTTCCTATTCCCAAAATTAGGAGGATGGAGGATATTTTTGGCCTTGATGAAATATTGGTTTTAAGTGTAACCACTTCAAGGAAATCTTGTCTGTGCTTAGACTTGCCAATGACAACTGAACCCGTTTTTTAAAGTAACTCCCACAGAGCCATCTTGAACTAAAGTATTACCATTTCAAACTTCTGGGCCCTTCACTAAACATGATTAAGAGTCCACAGCCATGCTAGCTAACGCCTCTGTGAGGCTATACCCAGGCACAGTGGTACTTTGAGCTAAATGCTAACATCAGCATCAGTGAGGGTTGCATCTTTGTTTAGCGCAGGGGTCAGCAACCTTTACTATTGAAAGAGCCATTTTTGGCCAAAGACAGAAAAAAAGCATGTCGGTAAGCCAGCTTTGGTGTTGAAAGCAAATTAATTGTTCCACGCACTTAGATTAGATTCTCTATTTTACTACAGATTTGAAATCCATAGCTAGCCAAGCTAGGCAGACTCAAGACTAGTATCCAATGCTATTGAGGTTTGGCAAAATATAGAAGGAAAGGCATCAGGACGTAACATATGACCCACAATTTAATTGATGAAACATTTTTTTAACTTTAACAAATTCTGGATTGTAAGAGTCACGTACAACAATGACAAATGAAAATTAAAAAAATAAAAGTTATTCATTTCCATATACTTTTTTGGCAAAGCCACAGGGAGCCACTGGGAGGGGCTAAAGAGCTAGAGGTTGCCATTGGTTTAGCGTGTTAGCATGCTAACATTTGGTAATTAGCACATTAGTTTTTTCAGCCATTTGAACCGAAGAATTGAACAAATTAAAATTTTGACCTGATGATGGCGCTTAAGTTAAGGAATCACCAAAATTATTGAAATTGATCCTCATTTGTAAAACAAATTAAAGTATACATTTGAATGTATAAATGTCACATCACAAGATTTCTGCATATTGAAGTTCTGAAAAGTTTAATTTATTGCCTAATTTACGGCCATCAGTGTGTAATAGGCCAATGCGAAATGAGACATTTTGACATGTTACAGTAAGAAAAGAACAGTATTTGTGACTTGTTTTGTAGATGTTTAACAGATTATCTATATAGTATATGTAGCAATTAATGATCATACCCTTACCAAGATATGTTGTGCCTAAACCTAACTAAACCTGTTGCATCTGAATTAATATGTTGTTGAAATGTTACAAATAAACTATCTATAGGTGGACTATGGTTCCTGTTATTGTTCACTCACTGTCACACTGTTAAAACTTACTGAGAGCCATCGATAGTGTTATCAGTAACATTGTGCTTTTCCTACTACAGTACGTCAAAATATCTGCTGTGAAAAAGGACTACAGTATATTGCACCTTTTTATATAAGAACCACCTCTGACTGTCCTCGTGTTGTCTTGGTCTTTTCCAACTGTGCGTGTCCCCCCGACCCCTGTCCCGCTCGTGAACCCAGCATCACATGACCTTGTGTCCCAGACTGTCTTTTCTGTGTGTGTGTGTGTGTGTGTGTGTGTGTGTGTGTGTGGGGTGTGGGTGTGTGGGTGTGTGTCTGTGTCTGTGTCATGCATACCTCTCTCTGATTCGAGATCAGATGGGAAGACTCCTGCTGCTTTTGGTACAGCGGCTTCTTTTCCGCTCAGTAGGCTCAGTGTGTGTGTGTGTGTGTGTGTGTGTGTGTGTGTGTGTGTGTATGTGTGTGTATGTGTGTATATGTGTGTATATGTGTGTATATGTGTGTATATGTGTGTATATGTGTGTGTATGTGTGTGTATGTGTGTGTATGTGTGTGTGTGTGTGTGTGCCATGCAGTACAATGTGCTGTTTCTTTTAATTCTCCTGTATAATTACATACACATGCTCATCAGGGCTGCATAGCGTACATGTTGTCCTCGGCTCTTCTGTGTGTGTTTTGGTGCCCTACTTTGTCCTGATCATTTGGCCACCATATGCCATGAACAGACTGGTGAACGTTCCCAGAGTGCTGTAATTTCTTCCTACAGGAATGTCAAGAATTCTGTGTGTGGTGTTGGGGTGGAATAGGACCAAAGGGCTTTGGACACACACATACACATACAGAAACACATGGACACATACTGCACTTGTTTTTTTAACGGACCTCCTAAGTCTTGCACTTAATTTGCCCTTAACCTAAAACTGGTTTTACTGGAGGCATTTCTTTCCCATTAGTACACTTCTTCCCACTAGCTGGCATCGCATTAGCTTGTAAGAAATGTAGGTTTAAAAAAAATAAATGTCTGTAGGTCTGGGAAATGGTAAATAATGGGTGCAGTTTGCAAGTTCAACTCCATTTATACCTGACGAGGAATGGATTTTGGAGTATTGAGCACTAGAGAAAGTCTACAAATTCAGTGTCTAATTAAAAAAAAAAAGGAGGCAGGTCATCAAAGCACTTAGGGCAGCTCACACTAGGCCTTTGAAATCTTGGACTGACTTTAGTTAATTAATAACATGTCAAGTTAAAAGAAAAGAACTGACTGTCCTAGAGACAGTTTGGTTTGGTTTGGTTTGGTTGTTCAGTCTGTGGGTGATTGTGGTTCTGACTTCCAGTTCCAGATAGACGGCTCATCCACGTGAATGACAGGTTTCACATAATCTGACCAATGGCAAGGTAGTGAGTGAGTGTACGACACAGCCATTGGAAGAAATCCCAGCCAAAATGAAATCCAACACGAGGACGGGTGAAACTTCAAAACAAGGCTGTGTGCTTTTTCTCTCTCTCCTCTCATGCTCGATGGTTCAGGGCCACAATGTGCTTCTGGCAATATTTTCAATGTTGAATTACAACTAATTAAAGTTGCTACTCAGAGTTCTGTGGCATTTTCTCCAAAAGGAGTAGGACAAAAGGTCAAAATGCTGAGCTGTGTGTTCAAAGTTAAGCATGATGTCTGGTCACCCTCTATGGACTGTAAAGCAAACTTTTCACCCTAACAGGCTTCCTTTAGCAATCACTTCTGACAAATTGGCTCCCATAGCATTTACTCCATCTGTCTTTAAAGACAGAAATAGAGATAAAACACAAGACACATCACTAGGAATGTAGAAATTCCCCTAACCAGACTTCATAGTTTGTCCTGCACCTTTTTATGTATCATCTGTGAAGACTTCTAAGAGATAACATGGATAACTTTGTAAGCATTCTGGTTCTACTCTCGCTGTTTTATACATCATTAAACTTGGCACCAACAGTTAAACTAGACAGATTCACTGATGTTTAATCTCATTTGCAGAAAGAGTCTATGCAGGATGATCTTTAAAGACTATCAGCTGGTGGGTTTTAAAGTAATCTCTCAAACACTGGTGCTGACTGAGGCAACACCTAGTGGATATCTGCTGTCCTGCAGCTTTTACTGTCCTTGTCACTCACTTTCCTCTTACACCCTCCCCCACCTCTCCCATCCCACCGTCCCACCTGCTTGTACAGATGACGATGTGGACCTGGAGCAGCTGGTGAATGACATGAACTCCTCAATGGAGAGTGTGTACTCTACGCAGGCAGACACGGCGCTGCTCCTGAACAACGGCCATGTGCACGCTCCACACCACCACCACCAGCACCACCACATGCACCCTGCCTACCCGGGACACAGTCAGGCCCACCGTCGTCACACCCCGCCCTTGCCCTCTTCCTCCCCCTCCAGGGAGAGGCTGCGGCAGTCTCAGCCCATGCACATCCAAGCCGTCAGGTAGATGCTCATAATCTTCCCCCTTGCCCTGATTTCACTGTTTTATGTTAAGATAAAGGCAGCTGGAAGCATTGTCTTTGCAGAAATGAATTGCCTGAGGAAGAACCCTTCTGTTTGTCTTTAGCTCTATGTGCGTTTGTGCTTCAATTATTAATTCTTTGCACGCAAGCTGCTTCCAGCTATCAGCCTTACTCACCAACATATACACAGGGACATAGATTGCACATAATGATTGTACTTTAATTCTAATTCCAGTTTGAAAATGTAAGTGAAGAGAATGAGATGCTCTTTGAAAATCAGATTGATTAGAAATTTGTGATTAACTAGCTTATAAAGCTTTTTATTATGACTATTGTTTTGTTTTGAAATCACTCTGCAACAAATCAGTCTTAGCCAATATTTGTAATTTTACATTGTTGCAGCTGCAAAATTAAGTCATAATTTAAACAATGTTAAAGTAAATTGACTGTAAGTTACAGAGAGGTTTTAGAAATACATGCTTTACTTTTTTATCCAAGTTTTTAGTCTAATATATGATGTGTGCCGTGCCTACCTTCTACACCCATGTGATGCCCATCATCATATTACAGTATTGTCAGTCTTTCACTGGTCAGGCGGGACTGTGACATGAGTGTGTGTGTCTCCCTCTGCAGGTGCCTGCAGGAAGAGCAGCATCTGCGTCCAGCCTCCCTTCCGGCCATCCCCAACCCTTTCCCTGAGCTCTGCAGCCCTGCAGGCTCTCCCGTTCTCAGCCCCATACAGGCCTCTGATAACCATGTAAGTACACCTTCACCACCTTACCTACACAAATATACATGATACAAGTGACATGAGGAGAAAGGTATGCTCAAATAATGGAAGGATTCTGACTGAGTGGCTACCTTTCACTGCTGGTATAAGGAAAAACAAATGTCAACAACTTTCTGGCAAATTTGAACTGTTAATTAAGTTAAATTACATGTTGCAGCATACAGGGAGAGAACAAATGCACATCGTTTCTTTTGGTATTGTTTTGAATGTTTGTTTCTAATCAATTCCACTACAGCCATGATAGATTTTGGACTCTTCATAGTATTTGTTGTCCTTTACTTGACCACCATCACAAAAGAGGCTGTGTGTATGTATGTGTGTGTTTTGAAACCAGCTGACTGGCCTGTTATGTTCAGGTCAGAGCAGCATGTGTTGACTTTGGCTGCGGACCGCCTTTCCTTCCATTACACAAAAGCTCACCCTGGGTTATCTGACTGTATATGTGTGTGTGTTATTGTGGAAGCATCATTATCAGTCATATGTACACACGCACACGTACAGAGTGACAGACATGTTTTGCTGTGGAAGGAGGTGAGCAATGTGTCCAGGATGCTGTAGACAGAGTGCAGACATCCGTGGCAGAGCTGGGAATACGGCTGGGAACGTCTGCAGGTCGGATCTCTCTGAACCTTTTGAATCCGTCTGCAGGCTCCGGCAAGACAGGCGCCCATTTCCGGTTCACACGCTTCAACCCTGGCTCTTAGCGTCACTGTGTGTGTGTGTGTGTGTGTGTGTGTGTGTGTGTGTGTGTGTGTGTGTGTGTGTGTGTGTGTGTGTGTGTGTGTGTGTGTGTGTGTGTGTGTGTCATAGCCTTGCCCTTCCTTCCCCCGGTAGAGCCTCCTGTCCCAGGAATGTTCCATCCCTCTCAAAGATGTTTTCAGGATGCCCACTCTGAACAATACAAGTTATTTTAGCACTTGCACTCACACACACACACACACACACACGGGTGGCATTATTCAGTTCACACGCAAACATATGCATGTGATAAGGCAAAGCATTATTTTTGCATTTTGTTGACATCATCTCACAAGGTCTGGAGTCAGAGAGCAAGTTTGCAGTTTGTACAAAGGATCTTTTGTGTGTGTTTGAGTCCGTGAGAGCTGACAAGATGTTGCATCATGTCTCTTTCCCAGAACATCTTCATTTTTTCCAGTTCCTTTAACTATTGTCTTCTGTATCTGAAGAGGCAAAAATGGCTCAGTACTTGTTATAGAGATGTATTTCGTGGTAAGTAGTGTCTTTAGACAGTCTCAATTGCAGTTTGGGGTTTTGTGTGGGATTTTCTTAAAGTTGCTTTGCCTATGCTTTGTATCTGATAAGGATGATTCATTCCTGCTTTAGACTGTGGGTCAGAGGTCTGGCAGCATTTCGCTTCTTCTTTACTGCAGTTTTCATGGCATGTCACCAGGTTGGAGGCAGGAAATTCTTTAAGACTGCCTAATGGCACAAAAACAGGAAGATGGTAGTATTCTTCCAGCACGAACAGCGATAAAGCTCGAGCTGGAAGGAGAGTCGAAGGCACATGGAAAAATCACTTCCAACATTCCATCATGTTTATCATTATCAGCAAAAGAGAAAAACCTTTTGGCTGAAGAAGCAGAGGAGGTGGCTGATAAATGTGTGACTGGAGGTGATGGGGATCATGGGAAACAAAACCCACCAGTGTAAAGAACCATCTCATTTCATATAATTTAATTAGTTCACAACCATTAATTAATATGATAATGATACATTAATCCTTAAAAATGTAACATGGTGTAAGTTTAGTGGCATGGTTCGGGGCACGGCAATGTTGGTCCTGACTCAAATATATATTTTCCTCTAGCGCTACGTCTCAACAACTATTGGTTTGATTGCCATGAATTAAAATATTTATTTCCCCTTGAAGACGATTTTCTATTAATTTAAAATGTCAGTTTGTCCAGTATTTTAATTTATGATACATGCAGAACTAATCACATTCTCATCAGACTTAGCTGTACCTTGTGTTTTGTGTTAATTAGTGTTGTACATGCTAATTAGCATGGTAACACATTTAACTAAAGTTGTTTTAAGGCCCCCCTCCACTCAGAAATAGGCTTTTCTTCTTGCTCCTACAGTTGGATGTTTGAGCTTCACTGTGCACAATGATGTATGTCCAGAGTTTGACACTGGGAGGATGTTTTCACATTCATCTGCTGAAAGTGGAAAGTTTCTCTGTGCTCAGTGAAAAGTGATTTTTTAAGGGCGGGGCCTACCCGCATGATTTCATGTCGGCAGTTTGGAAGCCGATGAAGAAACTTGAGAATGGACTTTACAGTGAAGTAGGGGACATCTTGTGTCCAGCAGGGAAAATTTAGAAATGAACAACATTTGCATATTCATTCTGTTATTTATAATAAGGTAGAAGGAGTAGATCCCTTAACGGTTTTAATGTGGAGATTATTATTTTTTTTGCAGAAAAAATATCAGACACACATTGTTCCACGCAGACTGTTTACATGTCTTAATACAGTGCTTCCCAACCTTTTTCCTTAAGGGACCACAGTGTTTTCTTCTCCCTGACATGTGGCCATTGTTCTATTAGCTCTTTGGTTGTTTTAACTGCATAGTTTTCTAATGGAGGATGAGGCTGTTTATCAGAGAGTGAAGGCTCTGTGAATATAGTTTCCATTCATGTTTAAATCTTAAATAACAATTACAATTTTATGTAGTTTTCTTTACAGAATTGAACAAAATGCTGAGATATGTGTACTGTGTAATTTTTTAAGTTTTCTTATAACCCTTAAAATTAAGACTTGTGGCCCCCCATGAAGCTTTGGCGACCCCTAGTGGGGGTCCCAATCCCAGCCTGGGAACTACTGTCTTACAGTATATGTCTGGATGGGATCTTTAACGATGTTACAACTGTGTAGCATCTTCCTAAACCAGCCCCAGTATTAACTGGCCTCCTTCAGTGGATGCGTGTGGAACCATCATGTACTTTAATCCGCTCTAATGCTCAAAATGAGCCATGGCTTCGGCTGATTGAATGAGACCTTCACTGATCATATCACTTAAGTTCATCAAGACCCATGGCAGACGGGTCACAATGTGGCCTTTAGCTCCAGATGTCAGTGCTTCAGTTGGCATGCAATGTTGTGTAATGTCATATGTAAGCTAACAGAAAGGCTATAAGTTAGCGAAGGTAGTGAAGATGTTTCAGAAAATGTATGCATGGATGTGTGCAGGTCAGTTTAGTTGTGTTGTTCTGAGGATGGCTTACACAACAATGCAGACGGGACTCTCAGACGTGCCGTGCGTTGGTCTACATAGTTGCATTGTATTTGCATTGGCATGGTTTTATCATAGGATCTCTCTCCCTCCAGCTGTAGAGTTGGAATCTGAACATTCTTCACTAAGCTGCAGTCTTTCTTAAAGGGATGCACAGCTTATATTAAGAGCTAGTAAAACTGTGTATGTACGTTACATGACAGGTTTATGGCCTGCGTTGCCTATGATTACATAAATGGATTTGTCCTCAGGGTATCATCAACAGATATCATGACACGGTAAATCATATTTAACTCTTCACATGGGGTCTAGCAGCTGCTAATTCCAAAGCTAATTCAGTAGTCTGACTTTAGTTAATGCTGAACTCTGATAATAGCCGTTTCCCACGCAAGTTGTGGCGGTCTTACACCATGCAGTTCAGTCATGTTACCCCGGCTTTCACAAGGATTTAGTCAGGTCCCGTCTGTCATCACTGGCCGAATGGGTTTGCTTTGGCATCATGACTACGGCTGTAACGCAACTCCTGCTTTTATTTGTGGCCAGAGACGCGGCATTACTAACATCAGGGACGGCAGGGAGTCCGAGTGGTTAAAGAGACCATCTCTCAAGCAAAGGACTCGGGTTCAAGCCCCCCTGTGTTGGCAAGTGTCCACCCTGCTGAAGTAGCTTTGAGCAAGACACTGAACCCCTTCCAGCTCTGGGTTCACTGCTCTTTAACTGACCCTGACCCCTGACCTCCCTGTGGAAAAAGGGAGGAGAAAAGACTGTTTTAATGAAAAAAATGGATGTGAAAAAGTCAGTTTCTCATGGTTTGTTATTCAGTATGTGGTGTGATCACTGAAATATTTCATGCTTGCGAAATTTTACAAAAATTGAAAAGGCAGGAATCATGCTTTGGTGTCTGATTGTCTGTCGGTCCACCACTTTGGTCCAGACTGAAATATCTAAACAACTACTGGATTTCCTGCCATGACATTTTGTACAGACATTGATGGTCCACAGATGATGAATTCTGATGTCTTTGGTGATATTTTGACTTTTCTTCTCTCTTGAATACAAGGTTCACATTTTAGTTTTTTCATGAAATGTCTCAGCAACTATTGGATGGATTGCCATAAAATTTTGTGTAGACGTTAATGGTGATCAGAGGATGAATTTTTGTGATCCCCTTTACATTTTAATTAGTCAGATATTTGCAGAACTAATGACATTTCCATCAGCTTCAGCTTTACTTTGTTTTAAGCGCTAATTGGCAAATATTAGCACACCAACATGAGCATGTCAACACTGTGTTCGGGAGCAGATTAGCATACTGAAGTTAGCATTTAGCTCAAAGCATAGCTGTGTCATAAGTACAGCCTCACAGAGCAGCTAGTAGGTCTTTGATATCTAATACACCTCTGTTGTGATGGTATCGTCATTTTTTTTTGTTTCCTCCTTGCTTGAATGTTGAGATAAATCAGTAATCTTTGTTGTATTGTGTGACCTGTTTGCACTGACCTTCTCATTAGAGAGAAGATTGTCCTTCATTTTTTTTCCATTTGCACCCTCTGGTAGTGTTGTAATTATAATATACTGCTACTGCTGTACAATGGAATACAGAAATAATCCCTTTTAATCCCTTTTAATACTAGTGGTTTAATAATACTGTATTTTCCTAATGCTTTTAATGGTGTCACTTATTGCTTAAAGAAAATTTGAGTAGCTGACAA